AAGTAGTTTAGTTATATATATATATATATATATATATATTTTTTTTTTTTAGAAATAGTAACGAGTTTGATACCCAAGGTAGGTAGGTAGGTGGATAGGGGATAGCCAAGGCGATATAGATGGGAGGCCGACACTTGATCGTTGAGAGAGCGAGAGCGTAGGTAGGTAGGTAGGGTATGAGAAAGGAGCTGCCGAAGAAGCTCTTACCGCATGGCGATAGTTCTACACTTACCGGTACTTACAGACAGCTCTAGCTATTGTGGTGCGAGGAAGGCTGCGTACGGAGGACATCGTCGCTGTGTATCATCTTCTTTCTGATGGAGCGGTATTTCCGCTTGGAGGGATGGATGGGTTTGGTCGGTTGTTGTCCGTTGGGTATGAGATGGACTGCGGAGGGTTGGGTCTGGCTTGGTGTAGGGTACCGGTAGTTCGCCCACCGCCCTCTCCCCCCCCCCGTTTCCGTTGCATTTGACGGAGTGGAAGAGGCAGCTCGCTTACGGTGTATGCGCCTGTCCAGGAGCGCTCTATCGTCAACTTCGAACTACCGTAGACGGGAATGGGGGCATCAGCAAACGGGCTGCGGCGCTGTATTATTCGTGGGTTAAAGCGACGAGGGGGCGCGGTCGGGCCGGATCCTTCCGGGTCGCGTCGCTATACCGGGATATTACTCTGCTTTGGAAGAGAGGTGACTGCATGGGCTTGGGATTGGATCCGTAGCATGCATTCAAATCCGCCGTATACGTACCTAGTATATTTTGTGAGTTGAGGGCAGGATAGACTGAGGAGTTTTTGGAGTCTGGGAAGTTTTATACTGTAGGTAGGAAGGGATTGATGATTGATGATTAATCGATATACGGTACCGGTACCTAGACTGACGGCCCTCGTGGTAGCGTGAGGTTGTGAAACCCAAGGCCCGGCCTGACAGCTTGGAACAGTACTGAAGCGCGTGGTCCTGTGTGTCTGTCTGAGACACGGACCCAGGAACCAGGAACCAGGAGCCAAGGAAGTGAGATGAGGGGTGAAGTGAAGTGAAGTGAAGTGCGTCGTGAGCAGTTTGATAGAAGCAGACGCCAGCTTGGGGCAATGGGGGTGCAGAGGAGATCGTGATACCTATCTGAATATGGACTCTTGGCAATAAACCAATAGACAGGCCCGGCATCGAAAAGGAAAAAGTTTAAAAGAAAAAAAGAAAAGAAAAGAAAAAGTAAGAGCCGGGAGGTTTCCACTTTACGCGAATCCGGGGCCGGGTATCAGCAGTCGCGTCTTCCGCGCTTCTCTTGCTTGCTTGCTCCTTGCTTCGGGAGCCAGCGTCGATGTTCTCACGAATCCATACCCAAACCCAGACCCAGACCCATACCTATATATCCACATCGATACTTATGAGAATGCAAACGGCGTCTCTAAAGCGACACGATCATTGGTGCCCGCTGCCGTCCGTTTGCTATTTTTGCTACTTACTACTGTATGCAAGATGCTTGAATGCTGGGTTTAGCTGGCCAGCGAATATTGACTTTGGACATTGCAGGGGGCTCAATACTTACCCGAGCATTATCTTGACATTTCCAAATTTTCTCCCACTTTCACACTTGGGGTTTTGCTTTTTTCCTCACCTTTTGCTATCCTACACATGCGTGATACGATTTCCGGTCTCTCTAATTAGAAGCGCACAAAGACCGGTGAAAGAAGAACTCGCTAATCTGTTTACAACCCCGCCGCCGATTAACTTTTAACTTTGGTCCCTCTAGTTCTCCGGCACGCTGTCTACCTATCCTACGATCTTCGTTCTGCCCGATCACCGAGAAGTTAATTGTTTGTTGGATGGAATGGTTGCCGGGTCAAAGCAAATACGCTTATCACTGGTTCCATCTCTGCTTTGACTGCACTTTGTCTGTCCAGCGTCATCAATAATTCCCCATCATCCACCTCTATCGTCCCCTCACTCTACAACCATCTACCTACCCACCTACAGCCTATCCACAGCCGGATACCGCTTTAAAATGGCTGCCCCCATGTCTGCGAATGCCATGAGAGCTCTCGAGCAAGTAAAGATGGTAGGGACTTCATTCGCGCCTGCCAGCATTCTAGCTGCTAACCGTATACCTTCCTCATGTAGGGCCTTTACATGCTTTATGGAGCCTCCTACTTCACCGAAGACGAATGGATCAAGATTGACGGCTTGATACATAAAGGCCAATATATCTTTACTAGCGGTCCGCCCAACAATATCAATATCCTCGACTCAAAGGACGAGCCTTTGCTATCGTTCGACGATACGACCGGGAGAGCAAACCAATCTTTCGATACGGCGAAGGAGGACTCTACAGTGGTTACGGAAAAGCCGCTAGACTCCCCCACCGAGTCGGATCTGACTGAGCCGGCAGAGACGCCTAATGATACTTCTGTCGAGGCCACCGAGGCTTCATCGGACGACGAACCTCCCAAGCCAGCGGACTCTGCTGTATTCGATTTTTCGCAATGGGACCCTCCTACCGAGGTCCAAGAAACAAAACCCGTCAATGTTGAAGAGCTTGGGAGCGAGCCTACCGAGATTCCTAAGCGAGAACCAGTTGCTATTCCTGCAGCAGGTGGGCTGGCCCTCGGATACACACAAGAACAACTGGACGAGCTGAAGGCTTTCAACGCAACCCTGACCAAAGCTGGCAAGAAGCAGAAGCCAGACTATGAAAAGAAGGATCCTGGATCCTGTAACTCTGAAAACGCGTCTACGGCCACCGATGAGCAAGAGACACGGATCAACTCATGGGCTGATGGTGTTAAAGCTCACGGACTGTCGCAAAATTCAAAGACTGCCACCCAACCAGGCCAGCCTGCCGACCAGTTCACCAAGGCCCAAGGCCGGGCACCTCGAGTCAATGACGAGGTCGTCCATCCGAACAATCCCAGTCCCAAATCCAAGCCACTTGGCCGCCGTATAGGCCCCGGCTCAACCAGCAGCGGTAGCCATCTCAAGAAGTCTCCCGTGCCTACCGCCGAGTTCGGCAGCGTAGAGCGCAAGCTGAATGTTCCACCCGGCACCGTCCTTCTCGCCCATAGAGGCCAGGTCAAAACTAGTCAAATGAGACTAGAAATCCTGCCCGGCGATCAGATCGAGGTCTTTAGCCACGTTTCCGCCGTAACGCACTCGGGCCGAAACTTGCGGACTGGACAGAAGGGGCACTTCGCAGAGGACGTAGTCATGTCAAACCCTGTCGAAAAATCAAGCAATGCCTGGGTCGAGCAGCGGCGGCTAAGTGCCCAGCAGAAGAGCCGAACGTTGAGCCTGAGCAGTGATATCCATTCACTGGATCGGATTGAAAACAACAATGCTGCCGAGTGGGACGAAATTCCTATCACTCGTCGAACGAGACCCCATGTACCTGTCCAACCGAAGCAACCTGGTGGGCTGGGCGGGCTGGGAGCCAGTCGATTTGCGCCACTGGTAGATGAGGCGAAGAGTGTGAGCTCCGGAAGCGAGCACACGGACATGGTCTCGAGAGATGAGGTTTCCAAGCTGGTTGATGATAAAGTACGTAGACTCTTGTTAGACGAGACCGGATGTGACTAACAGCGTGAAGATCGCGGAGATCAGAGCTCAGATGATGGCTCCCCAGAATGCCGTCGGTCACTCTCGCCCTTCTTACTATAAGAACAAGGTCGGAAAAGAGCCCCTGAAGCCAGTGATGCCCAAGACGCAGACATGCTGGTAAGCCCCCGGCCCCCTCTGCCCCATTCTTCTAGCCTCGGTCTTTTAGTTGATATATATATATATATATGTGTGTATATATATATATATATACATAAATATATAATATGCTCACCAAATCAGGTTCTGGGGCACCCCAAACAGGACCTGCCGCTTCACCGCAGACGAGTGCCGTGACCTCCACAAATTCATCCCCGGCAGTGAACCCTTCTTCCCTAAAGGCACACCCTCCTGGGGCGCTCTCGCCGACTCCCTCGCGCCTCCAACTCAGGCTCAAATCCAAGCCCAGCTCTCCCCTACCTCCCCTTCATCCTTCACCCTCAACTCTCCTTCCACGCTATCCAAGGTTATCACTAACGGGAGCCCCACCGACGCCGATGAAAGCTTCTTCGATAGCTCTAGCAAAAGCAGCAAGTCGTGCTGGTACTGGGCGCACGGGTCCTGCGTCAACACCGCCGAGGATTGCCGGTACCAGCACGCCGAGACCCCCCACGGCGTCGCTTCTAACCCCTCGAAGTGGAGGAAAGGGTGGTCGCGGTTGGGCTCGCCATCTGTCGCGGCGGATGAGTTTGGACGCAGCGAGCGCGTGGATCAGGCTTGGCGCGTGACCGAAGTTCTCTCCGAAGACGGTGACGGTGATGGGAAGGGTGAGAGTGCCGAGAGGGCCGAGAGGGCCGAGAGTACTGAGGCTGCCAAAAGTGAGAATCTACCAGCAGCAGCAGCAGTGGTCGCGGAACCGGAACCGGAACCGGAGAAAGAAGCAAAGCCGAGCCTCCCACCCGTGGCCAGCGTGACGCCTACGAAGTGGCACCGGCCCTACGAATGTACGCGTGGCTACGGCGAGAGCGCGCAGAAGGAGGGCCACTTTGGCAAAGATGTGACCGCCCTCGAGACCCTCCCTCCACCGGGATGGGAGAAAACACTGCCGTCGCACATGCAGAGTCTGCTGGCCAAGGCCAATGCTTCTGGGGACTCTCCGTGGTAAGGTAGGCTGCTAGGCTAGGTGATTTTTTGGTTCCGTATCGCGCGTGTGTGGGTAAGGTTCTTGGAGAGGTGTTGTGGAGGTGTTTGTGGAGTTGTGTCGCAGAGATCCGAGGGAGAGAAGCTGTTTTTTTTTTCTCTTCTTCTATCTCTCTTCTCAGTACCAGATTGAGCGGGCGACGTCAGCGCTGTACTACGCTCATTGCTGCAATGAGCCAGCCCGCCCGCCCGCTAGCCAGCCAGTCAGTGTGTGGTGGTTTGTTCTGGTTTTTGGATGGATTTACTATTTTTATTTTTTTTTCTGCTTGCTTGCTTGCTTGCTTGCTTGCTTGTTTTGATTTTTCCCGACGCATGCTTTCCAAAGGTTGCTCTACGTCTGTGCTCCATCTTCCTCACTTTTTCTGCCCGATCTATTTCATCTCTGTGTGGAGAGAGAGAGAGAGAAGGGGAGGGGAGGAAGGGGAAGAAGCGAGGAGTATTTTTTTTGTAATTTTTTTTTTGGAAAAAAAAAAAGATTTTTGAAAATATTCAGTCGAGAGTTTTGGTGCCTTTGTACAGGATGGCAGTGGGGAGGTAGGGAGGACAACGAAAGGAGAAAGGGAAAGGGAAAGGGAAAGGGAAAGAAAGTGGGGAGAAAATAAAACGCCCATTTTCTCTATCGATCTTTACAATACTTGGCTGGGAGGAGGAGCGTTGGTGGGAGACGAAGAAGAAGGAGGAGGAGAGAGGAGGGAGCATGTGGATGTGAATCTGAATGTGAATCTGAATGTGAATCTGAATGTGAATGTGGATGGACGGCATAGAGGAGAGGAACCTGGCAAAGCAGCAGAGACAAGATAATCCAGATATTACCGATATTAGTGAAAAAGAAAAAGGGACGGAGAGGAAGCAGGAGGTTTCTTCTAACGTGGACGGACGGACGAGCTGGCTAGCTAGTTAGTTGGTTATACCAGGGGCGTCGTCCTGTGTTAGTCATGTCGTCATGTCAGATAGATGATGAACTAAGGTAGCTTGAAGAGCTAGAGCAAGGGGAAGGGAAAGGGAGAGGGGAGAGGGAAAGGGAAAGGGAAAGGGAAAGGGAAAGGGAAAGGGTAGATGTAGATGTTAAAAGGCCAAAAGGCAAAAAAAGTAAAAAGTAAAAAATGCGAAAAAAAAAAANAANAA